ATGTTCATAAAGTAACGTGTGTCTGCCTCTGTCTGTGTAAGTGTGTGTATGTTTGTATGTGTGTTGGGCATGTGTGTGTGGGTTTGGTTTTTTGTTTTGTTTGTTTTTCTCTATATTTTATTATTCACTTTAATTTGTTCGTTTGTAAGCTGCTTTGATTTGAGATCCAATCTGGTTTGTTTAAATTTACAATGATTGTAAAAATTGATTTTGGGCTTTGTTTCTTTTGTTTGTTTTGGGTTTTAATCCTTTGCTTTAAATTGATCGAAAGTCAAACGGTAGATTTTGTGCTTGCTCGCCTTGTTTGTTTGTTTGTTTGTTGCTTATTGTAGTTTTGGTGTTTGGTGTTGTTTCTCCTTGTGTGTGTTTGTTTGCCTTTGTTTTGCTTCCTAGCTGTGTGAGTGTGTTTGTGTATTTTTATCATTTTCTGCTTTTTGGTTTCGCTTTCTCTCGTATTTAATGTATAATAATCATTTTTGTCGACTTTTGTTTTTGGTTTAACTATTTATAAAACATTTCATTTTAGAATCTTAACAACATACATATACATGTATATATATATTATATACATATATATATATATATTTTATAATTGCTGCGGCGTTTTATCTGTTTATCTGTAATTTTTATTTACTTAAGTGTTATTTATGTATACGTTTAATATGTAAATTTGTTTAGCATTAATTCATAAGTAGTTTTTCCATATGCCCATCGCTGTTGTTCTTGCTATTTTTGGTTTTTCTTATTCTTTTTGTTTTTATTATTATTGTTGTACGCATAATTTACATGGAGTGACTACCGCATTCGTAATGCTAACTCTTTCCCTTTCCCAGCTTTCCAACTTGATCTCAATCTATCCTTCCAGCTTCCCTTCCTTTCCCATTCTATATATCATATCATATCCCATATCATATATATCCTGCCTCCTACTTGATCTGGGCCTAATACGTTGCTCTCTGTGTGTGGGTGTGTGGTATTATCTAGGCATAGTTTATCATAATTTTACTTGCATTTATCATTTTTTGTTATTGTTGTATTTCGCATGCTTGAGCTAAATATATTTGTTTTGGTAGTTGCACTTTTTTGAATCGAAATGAAGACTCGGAATGGAATCGAAATCGAAATCGAGAGAATGAAGACTGATTTGATTTGATTGGATTTGAGTTGAGTTGATTTGATTTGATTTGAACTGAATGATGGTCTGGAACTAGCACGCATATATGTGTGTGTCTACATAATCCCAACTGATCGATCGGAATGAATCAATCTCTGGTTTTAGGCGACACATACATACATACATAGGTGTGATAGTGGCTTGTGTGTATATATATATTTTGTTTTTTTTTGGTAATCTTTATTTGTTTTATTCCAGTCTTTGTTTTTATTCATTTTATTCGCTTCTCCTCCGGCTTCTCTGTCCACCTCATCGATCCTGAAACGAGCAACGAAAGAATCTGTGATTCCTGGACTTTGGGGGGTTTTTGGGGGTCTATTGGAAGGGGCAAGCTAGACTTGGCTAGAAAGTAGCTAGACTCTGCAGACTGTACTTGATCCTAGGCTTTACATCTGCTATGCTACAATTTAACATAGTTCTCTCTCCACTTCCTGCTCACTTTCACTTCTCCTTCCGCTCTCTCTCTAATACCCTTAATTATTTTGGCAAGTTATCTTTACTTTGTTAATAGTTTTTGTTTTCTTTGATTCTTTTTTTTTTTTTTGGTTTTTTGTGATTCTTGTTTTTGGTTTATATCACTGTTAGTTGTAGTCTGGCCTAGTTGGTTCCTCTCTTTTTATCCTGCGGTCTCTCTGCCTTCCTTTCCTTTCCCTTCCTTTCTTTCTTCTCTTTTTTTGTTGGTTTTTAATAGTAAGCTTCATTTTCTTAGCGATTTCTCTGTTTTAATATTAGTTTGTAAATTACGCTTATAAAAAAAAAATATTTTGAATTTGGTTTTTCCGTTTGCATGACTTGAAGACGATATGTTTTTAATTGTATTATTATTTTTATGTCTATATAGAGATTATTGTGTAATTATCGTAGTTAATATTAAGAATATTTTATATGCAATCTTGTGGTATTTTTTGTTATTGCTCATTGGGTTTGTCTAATCGATTGGCCGACCGAGAACTTCTCAACGAATCGAACGAACTAAAACCAAACTGGATTCGGTGAATCCGTAAATCCAATAGATCCAATAAATCCAAAAATCCATAAATCCGTAAATCCGCTAATATATAATAATGCTAATGGATGTGGCCGGTACAAAACATGGGCTGTCTATCGGGGCTATATATATGTATATATATAGGGCCGATCGGAGTTTATAAATGGCTGAGTGAGTGTGTGTGTGCAGGCGTGTGTCTCTAAGGCCAAATCAAGTATACGTAAGAATGTCATGTCTTTCGGTTCTGGTTCTAGTTGATTCTCCCTCTCTGTCCCTCTGTTTCTTCCTCATCATCGCCCTCTCTCTCTCTCTGTTCTTTCGCTTTCTCTTTCTCTATCTCATTCGCTATCGCTTTCTTTTTCTTTTTCGCTTTCGTTTGCTGTGTGCGTGTGGACGGTTTTCAAAGCTGTAAATTGATTCGATTTATTTTTATTATTTAATGTTATTCTTCTCTCCGCTCATTTTTTTTTGCTTGGTGTTCCGTTTTTTTCGGTTTTTTCGTATTTAGTTTTTCGCTTTTTTTTTACATATTTACAGATTGCTTCGGTATAAATATTGGTTTAAATTCTTCTTAATTACAACAAGCAGCAAATCAATAAAAACTTTTTATTCAGTCGCATATCTAACAAAAAAAACATATTTATATATATATCCGAATATATATAAATATCATATATGTGTGTATGTATATATGCCTGCGTTAGCTTAGTTCTCGGCTTGTTATTCCTAATCCCAATCTTTAACTTTATCATCATCATCGTATCCCTCACTTAATAAATCTTCTGTTTTGTGAGATGTTTCTTCTGTGGTCCAAAGTAATTTGTGGCTCCTCTTCTGATTCTCCTCCCTCTATTTATATTCATTACTTCTATTTCTATTTCGACCTTCATATTTCGTTTCGTTTTCCTTTCGTTTTGGTTAGCAAGAGCAGTAGAAGCGAAGCTTTGTAGGTAGGATTCTAGGTAGAGAGAAATTTAGATATGACTTCGATCGATCGATTTGCACGCTAACATTCGGCACTATGCACTGCACAGTGAAGCAGTGGAAGCAGTTCATACGTATCTGTATCTTATGTTGTATAGAATTGATATATCGAATGCGCATGCAAATTGAAATTGATAATTTGGTTTTACTCCTCTAACGATTTTCCTATCTGTTTTGTTTTCTTTTCTTTTTTTTAATATTTATTGGTTTTCTTCTCCGTTTGCCGCTTTCTAGGAAATTGACAAAAGTTTAAGTCGCTAGATTGAACGTATTTCAAATGAGAAGATTTCGATTGTTATCAAATCACAAAAATCAGGAAGACGGCGAATCAAGTTACAACTCATGAACATGTTTGTGTGAGCTATTAGATCATAAAGCTTCTGTATCTGTATCGGTATCGTTATCGGTATCGGTATCTGTGTTTTGTGCGGGCGAGTGGAGACAAAAGAAAGACACATACAATATGCAACAGTTCTGAGGAATATATAGGATATAGGCCTGACTATCGAAGCTGTTACAATTGTCTCTCTATTGAAGGAAGACAAACTAAACTAAACTAAACTAAAACTAAAACTATAATAAACAGTACTAAATTAAACGAAAGCAGGTCCATGCACGTGTGCATCACAAGGGTCTCTATAAGAGATCATAGCTAGTACTGGATGAGCCAGGATTCTCCTACAGGTCTCATATAAAATTTGCAATTTGTTCGGTTTTCTTTATTTTTTTTGTTGGTTTCTTGGTTCCTAAATGGAAAGATCAGCGCGGTACCTTGGTTTTCTTCTAGTGGCATTCTCAGTTTTGTGTTTTTTTCTTTTTTATCATGGCTGTTTTCGGTTGTCTGTATTTGCTAAGTTTAATTATTGTTTTTGTATCGTTAGCAGCTTTCCTTATTTTTGGTTTTAGGTTCGTTTTTGTATTCCCTTTAGTTAGCTATGATTTTGGGTTTTTGGTTGGTTTTTTCTTGGTTTTTTGGTTTTTTTTGTCGTTTAATATTTATTTTATGTCTATGTCTATTTGTTCAGCTTCAGCTCTGACTTACTTATTTACAAAATAGCAGTTTTAGTTTAGTTTATGTATATTTAATTATATATGTAAATGTATGTATATATTTAATATATATATATTTATATATAATCTTTGTATTATTCATTCTTTAAACTTAACGGCAGTTTTGATGTTTTTAGCATTATCATGTGTGTCTCATGTGTCTATGTGTATGGCTGTGGCTGTGTCTGTTGTGTCAACGAAATATAAAAACAGCGCTCGGGTTAAAAGGATTTACTTACTTTACTTAGTAAATAATATAATCAACAATCGGACAGGGATCTACAAAAATATACGAATTCATTTAATTTAAAAGCTTTTAGTATAAAACACAACTTTTTTAGTGGGAGGATAAAAGAAACCGTGGAAATTTTTCTGATTATGAAAAACAGTCGAAATTTCGAAATTTTCAAGGGATAGTAGGGATAGTTAGCCGGAGCACTGCTTTATCGACGACGGGCCGTCGTTTCCTGTTCTTCTTATTGTTTGCTTTGCCTTTAGTTTGCTTTTAGCTTCTTCCGTTTCCGTTTCGGCTTTTTGTTGCTGTTGTTGTCTTGGTTTTTTTTGCTTTAGTTTGTTTTTACTAATATTTTGACTAATATTTAATTAATAGAGCATAATTTAAAGATGAAAATAAAATTAGCAGATATTGTATGTTGTTTGTTTTTGTCTGGTTGTTGTTGTTCTTTGTTTTTGTTTTTGTTTTTGTTTTCGTTTTGCTAGCTTCTAAAGAAAGGAAGAAACTCCAATTAGATTAGTCTACTAAGATAATTCGATTTTGGTTTTGTTTGTTTTTTTGTTGTTTTCGTTTTCGTTTTTGGTTTTATATGTTTTGTTTTGTTTTGTTGTTATTAACGATTGTTAGTTGATAATTGCTAAATTTGAACATAGGTATCAAGTAGAGTTTTTCTTCGAGTGTGTGTGGACGTGTGTTAGTGTGTGTGAAGGGTGTGTGTGTGAGTGTGTCTTCGGTGTAGAGATTACCAGAAGGAAAATGAAAGGAGAAACAAGGAAAACCCCTATAGAAAGCCAGTCCTTATTTGACTCTTTTTTTTAGTGTCTACAAATACTCTAATTCAAGCTGAGTGAACTGGCACTGTGTTTGTGTGTGTGTGTTGTGTCTGTGTACATTTGCTGTTTAATTTACAACTACGTTGCTTACTAGTTATTATAATTATAATTATAATTTAATTGTATTTATTAATAAAATTCTAAATTAGACTGCTTTTGATGACGTTTCTGGCATCCAACGTAGCATTTCACTGCGCAAATTTCGTCCATTTTCCATTTGTTTGACTGTGAAATAGAGTCAAAGGAGAACGATAAAGAGAGTGTGACCAAAATGTATAAGTGTTGCCTAGGAATACAAAACTGCAATCTATTTAATAGTGGTTTAACTGTGATAAATGTGCTAAATCTTTTAAGATATTACTTTTTCAATGTGCTATGACTTGGAAAGATCGTACAAAAATATGAAAGGAGTCTAAAAAAACCGCAGCCAAGTAATTTGAAATAATTAAGTTGTGTGACTAATCTCATTAACTTTGTCATATGTATAATTATTGAATTTCTTTATAATGCATTATTATTAGATTATTATTTTCTAAAGCAAGACTAGTAGGAAGTGTTATAAAAAATTTACAAGTTTAAAAAAAATATATTTGGCGCCCAACGTGGGACCTATGTGGAAGTGTTGAAGCATAATATGTTTTTGGCGCCCAACGTGGGACCTTGTTCATACTCACGCAAACCAATACTCACCTAGTAGTCAGACGTCGGTCTCAATACTGACGGCCATCGCGTTATTGTGCCTTAACTGTAAACTATTTGTGCTTCGTAGGCCGTTTTGGCCCAGCTGCTGCTGCTGCGCCTGCTGCGTCATCTGTTGGCCGTGTGGCGACTGCGATTGCTGCTGCAGCTGCAGCTGAAGCTGGAGCTGCTGCTTCTCGAATGACTGCTGCGTCCTGAGAAACGGCACCATGTGGCGGCCCGTGTGATCAGTCAGACCTGGCGTAGTTGCATCAATGCCATCATCCAAATCCATGATGTCCGACGACGATTCGGAGAGTGAGGATTTCTTCAAATGTTGACCTACAATCCGGGGTCGGTGGATCAGATACAACGATTAGAAAAGGGGCAGTCATTGGGGTCGCTTAGATTGGGCGGGATTCAGGGATTTGGGGATAGATCTTTTTTATTTTATTTTTTTCGTTTTTTGTTTTTTTTTTATTGGGGATTTTCTTAACCGCTAGTAGTAGTAGTATGTACCTAGTGCACCAGGTAAATATGAACAACTTGTAACGTGGTTGAAATTTTGGCTCTGCATCTCCTCCTGATCCGTTTCGCGGTGATAGAAGTAATTGAAATTACTGACGATAACCGGTACCGGCAGTGCGATTGTCAGCACACCAGCGATCACGCACAAAGAGCCGACAATTTTGCCCCAGAAGCCGACGGGCCTGGATGCATTTTTGTTTGAATGCATTCGTTTGTTTAATGGCAATATTTGTGGATTCGATTCATGTTTGTCAATGGGTCGTTGTCGTTGGGTGTGTGTCGAGTTGGAGTTCGAATTGGTTTGTATATTTAAATCGTTTCGATTCGATCCGATCCGTTTTTAAATATGCAAATTCGTTTCAAAGTCATTTGAATTTCGTGTGTTTTGTTGGTTGGTTGGTTTCATTTTTTATTGTTTGGTTTGGTATTGGTATGAAGAAGAACGTAGAAGAAGAACGCAGTATGTAAATCAGGTGGTAAAAAACAAACAAAGAGAAATAAGTTATAAGTTTAGATATATTCAATATACTATTCTAGGATAGCGGCTTAGATTCGGGGACCCGAGCTCGTGGCTCCGGCCCAACTAAAGTGTTAATAACTTGGTAATAACGCAAAAGAGAAGAACGTGTCACAACAGATACATATGGTTTACATAAACGAAGCGATACGAGTTATTTATCATTTTAATTTCAATGGATGGGCTGGAGGCGTTCGAGTAAGTATCCGTGATTGGAGGCGGGAGGCGGTTGAGGGTAAGCGATAACGGAACTCAAGGGTAAGCAAAAGTCAAAACTAAAAGCTCAACTAGTTATCGGTATAGGTATAGGTATAGGTATGGCTATAGGTATAAGTATAGGTAGTGGTATTGTTATTTTGTTATTGCTATTGGTTTTCGTACAAGTATTTGTATGCAAACATCGAAAGCAAATCATTGGCGGCAACCAATATCGGTTGCAAAAACCAACTGATTGTGGATTGTGGATTGTGGGGTAACTATAAACTCAAATCAAAATCAAAAACAAAATCAAATTCAAATTCAAAATCAAAACCAAAGTCAAAAAACAAAACTAAAAATCGAAATCATTGTGGTATACTTATACATATAGATAGATGGGTGGATAGCAGGGCTGGTTTGGCTAACGAAAAACCGAAGCGTACTTATTGCCAAATGGAATAAACAAAATGTGCCGGCGTTTGGCGTCGTCGCTGTTAAACTTGACATAAAATGAATATACATAGATAGAGATGTGTGGAAGGACCAAAGCAAATCGAACCGATCCTCGTCGATCTGGTTAGGGATCGGCGATCAGTGATCGGTTAACGGATATCCGGTGAGGGACTGCTTCGGCACACACACACACTGACAGAGCGGTGGGGCGCGTAGGTGGGAGGGAGACAGAGACACATAGGAGCGATAGATCCTCGTCTTCTTCTTCTTCTTCGTCATCTGGGGTCTCACTTCTTCTTCTTTTTCTTCTTCGTCATCTTGCGGAGCTTGCTCTTCTCCTCAGTTTTGGATCGTCTGTGTAGTTAGACTGTCTGACTGTATGTTTTGAACTGACTGTACTTTGAGTGGTTTAATCTGACTGTACTTTTCTTTCAATCGTGTGTGTGTGTGGTTTTATGTGTCATGACTGTGTGTGTGTGCTTTTAGAATTCTTTCTTTTCCATTTTCTTTCTTCTGGGATGAAAATGGCGAATGGGAAATGACTTTTTTCGGGTCTGAGTGGGTCAGGCTGCTCGGCAATTTTCCTGCACAAAACGGGAAAGTTGCCGTGCAGCGGTGGTGTGTGTGGGTTTTCTTTCTTTTTCGGGCGTGTTCTTATAGATGTGTTCGTAATATAGAGATTAGGTATAGTTAAGCGATCGTAATTAGGCAAAGAGTAGTTGCTGATATAATGCTCATTCGAGTACTCGAGTCAAGGAACGAAATCAAAATTAAAGCGAGAGAAAAAACGTGTTCAAAGTGAGTAGAAAAGCCAAAAAAGATTCGATTCAACTCTTTAGTTGGTGTGATTGCATTCCTGTGTGATATAGTGTGTGTGTGTGTGTGGTTCTGTGTGTGTGTGGGTGGGTGGTTTTTTCTTTTTTTTCTTTGGAGATATAGGTAGCAAGTAAGTTGGTATTTATGCAAATGTGCTAAGCGTGCGCCCTTGTGTGTGTTTTTTTTTTTTTTTTTTTTTGCGTTTCTTGGGTTATTTGCGTTTTGGGTTTGCGTACTGTATTTCTTTGCGTTTTTTTTAGCTTTTTGCTATTTGCTTTTTGTTAGCTTTGCTTTGATTTGCTTTGCTTGGATTTGAATTTGCTGGCAGATTGCGCTTGACGCGATCTGATTCTGGTACTGTCGCGATCTCAACATCGATGTTCGATACGATTTCGAATCGATTTCGATTGGATACAGCAACTGATTGCACATGCACCGGAATCGGGAAGCACAGGGAAACGGGACTTAGGAGCAGAAGCAGGAGCCGCACAGCCTCAGCATATTTTGAGCGGGCTGTTAGATCTTCCTAGTTGTTCGTTGTTGTTCTAGACGCTGATGTTCTGTTCGGTTGCTGCAGATGCTGCTTACTGCTGCTGTTGCGATATATAGCGGTAATGATATAGCGATATAACGGTAACTGGGTAACGGTAACGATATAGCAGGATAGCGCAGGAGCGTCGGCTGAGCAGGTGCAGGCGCAGGCGGCTGAGCGCTGAAGCTGATTCGAGCGATTCGAGCGATTCTTACAGTTTTTACATTCCGGCGCAGGGGGAGAACGTAAGCAAAAGTTTACAAAATATTCATATTCCATATACGATTATCATTATTATACGTAAATCGAGATATATTAGATATAGTTGTAGTTCCGAGGGCATATGCAAAATCAAAATGGAGGCGGAGGCGTAGGCATACACGAAAAAAGAGGTTAACGAATACGAGTACGGATAGTTTAAGTCAAAACATAAAAAGATATAGAGAGGCAGGGGAAAAAAACCCCACTGAGACGGAGACAACTTGGCGCTTTTCTTGGGGAGAGAGAGCGAGAGAGAATTTTTCAAATATGTTGATCGTATATATAGATTATAGACATAGTGGGATTACCGGGGGCTTTGGAGTGGGGTCTCGGGGGTTTTCAGACTCACCGTTCGTTGGTTTAGCATCGCTTCGACTGCCGGGCCGGATTTAACCTGTTTGGACTTCAACTTTCCAAGATTTTCAGTAAGTTGCATGGATATTCTCTATTAAATATTTTTCTTTTTTTTTCTTTTCACTCGGTTTGTCGCGAATCTGCGATAGAGTGTGTGTGTGTGTGCTCACGGAGGTATGTTTTTTTTTTTTTTTTTTTGTTCTCGGGGAGTGGGGGATTTAGAGGGCAATAGAGCTAAACTACGCTAGGAAATGTCTGCAATGGAATGTGCTACTGGCATGGCATTTTTGTAAACGAGTATATATATTATATTTACTATGTGGTATAATGGTTTATGACTCGGTTATACGTGTGTGTGTGTGTGTGTGTGTGCGGGTTGTCTGTCTGCTTTGAGGTGTTTCCAAAAAGAGGGGAGGTGCCAAGCCCCCCCTTTTCGACAGGGGACAATCGGGGTTCGGGTCTGGACTTAGATCTAGGGGACTAGAGCCAAAGCTTATTATTATAATTACGATAACGGTAGGAATATAACGACAGTGAGATACTAACTAGATCTAATGCCATCCCCTTCGAATAAGTCTAACCAAAAAGGTAAAGAATGGAAAAGTAATTAATTAGAGGTACGAACACAAAGCAAATACTACCAGCTAGTCTAGGAATCGACTAAGATAACGGGACTCGGTTTGGGTCTTAGCTAGTTGGGATTTCGATGTCGGGTGGGTAGATTACAGCTAGAATTGTTCGAATGAATTCGAGTTCGAATTGCGCCATTGCTTGCGTTTATCTGGTTAATGATTTCTTGGAAATTTATTTATTTTTTATTTTTATTGAATAACGATTATAAAACATTTCATTTTTAATCTTAACAACATTTCCATTTTTTTGTTTTTGTTTGGTTTTCATTTTGCGTTCATTTTTTTTTAATTTCTGTGTGTGATTTTCGTTTTTCGTTTTCTTCTGTAATATCTTATTAGGCGTAATACTAGACTCTGTTCTATGGGGATTATTGCGTCTGTTATTCGTTTTCAAATTTGTATTATATGTTATTATCATCATCTGCTTTGATTCGCTTTGATTCGTTTAGGACTGGGCTTGTTAATGGTGCTTGGTTCTGTATTATTGTTATTATTTCAAAGGTTATGCTATTGCTGTCGCTCTATTTCTGGGGTTCGGGTGGAGTTCTCCAAATTGAAAGTTCGATTCGATTCAGTTCTGTCCGGTCCGTTACGGTCCGGTTCGGTTGTGTTTTGTGGTGTTGTGTCTTGAACTTCTAACTAAACCTAAACTTATTTCCTGGTAGGTTGAATCAAGGCCAAATTAGAGTTAAAAATCAATTAATTCAAATGTTTCGCTTTGTTTTTTGGTTTTTAAGTGTATGTTTTTTTTTTAAATCTCTATTTGCAGTCTTTGTCCTTAATAGAAATTTGTTTTTTGGTTTGTTTTTGAAGCATTGAGAAGATTTTGAAAGATTTCTTTTATTTTTTCCTTTGCTGGCTTATGTTTTGATTTACTCGTATTTAGCATATGGTAAATGTGTATTGTTCATCATAGTCCGTACTATCAAAGGGTGTTTCCTTTTCTTTATTTTTATATATATTTTCTTCTTTTTTTTACGTATGTGTGTTAAGATTGGTTTTTCGTTAGGTTCGCAATTAAATTTAATGGAAAACTTGAAAGGATTGTTTTTGGTTTGAATTGAACTGGAGAAATCGAGTGTTTGTAGTTGTTGTGGCGTGTTAGTGTTATATTCGAAAATAAGTTAGACTTTTCATTTAGAGTTTTGAGTTATACGTGGTTTTCATAACTTAGTTCTTGCTTTACAACGATATGTTTGCTTCTTCTGGGCTTCCATTCACTAGAGTATCGTCCTAAGTTTTTCTTTCTTTTTTCGTATTCTTTTTCGTTTAATGCATAACGCTTTTGGATTAAAGTAGGCTAGACTAGAGTTGAGTTGAGTAGAGCATAGTTCAAGCACACGAAAGTAATACGAAAACCGAATGAAATGCGCTGCGCTTTCAGCTCCTAATGTTCGTGAATGTGTGTGGGTTGTATGTATGTGATATACGTATATATGTGGGTGTATCTAATCTTTTAGAATTGATCGACTGATTGACTGATTACTGATTGGATAACTCAACTGCAGCTGGGAGTGATACTGATACTGATATGCCAAAGACGAGATTTAAGTTGAGCTCACACAAGATACTCGTACATACGTAACGTTACGAAACGAAATCAAATATTTACAATTCAGTGATTTAAGATTTTCTTTGAGCGCCAGCTAATACAATTACAATACGAACTAAGTATACAGAACTATGTAGCGTTTTTGCTTCAGACTAGATCCTAGATCGAAATAAGGTTACGGCTTCCGTTTCCGCTTTCGCTTTTGATTCCGTTTCTAATTCCGTTTCCGTTTCCGATTCCATTTCGATTTCGATTTCGACTCGACTAACTACGGATCTATAGCCAAAATACAAATACAAAAAAATATATATACGTACATATATGGAACGGAATGGAACGGAGCGGAGCGAATCGGAATGGAATGAGACTGAGACGGATAAGTCGAATAGAATTAGAATAGCGAGTAATATTATTTACAAGATGGTTCTTTGGTTTTTGTTTGGGGTGTTTGGGGCACAGGGGACTGTGCGAAATAAAAAACGCTTCGAAAACACTTTTCTCAATTTATTTGCTTCGATATCGCTTCTTTATTGTGGATTCGGATCGGATTGGATCAGCATGGGGTTCCGTTTTCTTAATCTTCTCACTGTTCTTCATCTTGCATCTTGTGTACTTGTGTTGTTTCTGGTTTTCTTTGGTATGTATAAGGTTTTCTT